ACCCTTCTTGCAAGGAGTGTCCCCACAGCTCAACCTGCTCCCCAAAAGCCTCAGATCTCGGAAAAGCCACGTCCTTGTGCCCACCAAACGTGGAGCCCCCTCGGCTTCATCCTCTCCCCGCTCACTCCGGTGCCCTCGTGCAGGGACATCTTGGCTTTTGGGGGATAATTTTTCACCCCGCAGCCACTGCTTCCACCGTCACCCTCCCCTACACCATCCATCCTCTCCTGATGCCACCACTTAAACCCTCATCCCCCTCTGCATCATCCCGCCCCTCCTCCTGGTGTGCTTCAACAAGGAGATGACACCCTCAACCCTTGGAGCATCCTCAAGCTGCCAACGGGCTCATCCCAAGGGAGATGCTCCAACATCCCGCAGCCAAGAGCCTCAGGGACCTGGTGGTACCTTCTGGACCACCCCAGAAGATGCTGGCAGCCCCATAAATTCTCCCAAGAGCCTAAAAATTCCATCATCTGGGAGGTTCTCTCCTTCAGTAGCTTGTAAACCATGACACCGGCACCGGTCCTGCCGTCGGCGTGGCTTTTGTGCCACCGGAGCTGCATGTCCTGGCGCATCTTGAGTCCATCACGCCAATGAGGATGGTCTGCATGCTAAAAATGTGCTTTTTCTATTTCATATTGGTGAAAAAGAGGGGAAAAGAGGGCTTCTGGACAAGAGCTGGTGGCTGGCAGCCACTTGCCACCCCAACTCCCCGCTGGGAGGTTTTTGGTTAAAACCAAACTTGGGGACTTGGGTTCACCTATTTTCCCTCTGTCCCCGATGTCGTTGTCTTCAGAGAGTTTCTCCGATGTTTTTTTTGGTGCAGTAAATGCTGTGTGTGTGCGCGTGTGTGTGTGTGTGTGTGTGTGGGTGATGGATGCGTTGAAGCAGCTCTGGAGCCACCCCGAAGGAGGAGACTTGGGGGGCTCTCCAAGCCCAGATGATCTCAAACATGGTGCCCATTCGTAGAATCATCGAACCATGGGTTGGTTTGGGTTGGAAGGGCCCTTTGAAGCTCATCCAGTCCAACCCCCCGCCGTGGGTGGGGACATCTTCACCGAGATCAAGTCGCTTCTTCGGCCGCAGTCCAGGAGACTCTTGGCTTCCTGGGCTGCGCGACCATTGCTGGCTCATGTCCCCGTTGTCACCCACCAGTGACCCCAAGGCCTTCTCCACTCTCCAGCCCTTCCTCTCGCAACCTGATGCTGGGGGTTACCCCCCGTGGGGCAAGACCTTGACCTCGGCCTGGTTGAACCTCAGTGAGGTTCACTCTTGATGAGGCCCCACTTCTCCACCTGGTCCAGGTCCCTCGGGTGGGTCAACCCCACCCCTCAGCCTGGTGTCATCTCCAAACGCCTACGTCGTTGGTGACGCTATGAAATGGCGACCGTGACTCGTGGCTGCCGTTTCTTGGGGTGCCACCACCCCCCACCAGCTCCAGGTCCCGGCTCCACCACCGCTGAGGCTCCAGGTTGAGGTCCCTCATCTTGAGCTGGGAACCTTTTGGTTTTACCGGGGGTGCTGAGGCTTCACCGGCATCCCGCTCCGGTTGGCGAGTTCCCGGCAAATGCCCCAAAAACCCAGCGGGATGCTGGGAAAAGGGGAGTCATCCTGCATCCCCCCCGCCCTGCCGGTGACGGCCGTGGCACCAAGGATGGTGGTGCCCACCTCAGGGTCATCCATCGGGCACCGAGAAAACCCATCATCACCTTCTAATTGGTTCTGCTTGATTAAATTCCTACCTTCCACCTCGATAATTACTACTAAATCTGTATATTTCTATATAAAATACATATATGTAATATTATATGTAATATATTTATAGATAACATAAGATAATTATATGATCATATATAAAATTTTAGATTGATATAAAATTATATAATAGAAACAATGTATAAAGATGTATTTATATAAATACTATATAAAGAATATAAATAATGTATAGATTAAATAACACTTTTATATTATATAAAATAATATAAATAATGTATAAATCAATATTATAGTTATATATAATGTATACTTACATAATGTATAATATATACTTATATAAGTATATATTATATAATATATATTATTTTATTATATATTATTATTATTTTAATATTTTGCTATATAACAAAAGTTATATATAATATATATAATCTGTCTCTTA